TTATTTTTACTTCTGTCTTTTTGCACATTAAATTGAAACACTATCCCAAATTTGACTGGGAAACATTATAACAAGTAATAAAAATGTTTTAAAAGCCGTAGCTACAAAGCAGAGCTGCGCAAGTCCTGTGCAGAAAATCATGTCCATCCCTATTGACTTTCATTGAGAGGTAAATGCCAGGATCTTGTACAAAACCATTTTCTGTTGGATTGGACACATAATCGGTTTGGTTTGTTCAGGGTTCAATTCACACTGAAGTATAAGTCTTACCAGTCACTATATACATTATGAAGAAAAATAAACCATAGATAGTCACAGCAGACTATAAGTCACAGAGACATTCAAGTATACTATTTTATTCATGTAAGGTTCTCATAAAGAGTGCCGAAAATGGTGACCAAAATCTTAAATATCCCAAGGAACTAGAGGCAAGATGAGGAAATGACAATTTCCAAGTGACATGACAGGCGCTGCGAGTAAGTAGAAATACTTCATGGACAGACCTTATTCAAAGTACAGCACTGGTGTTTATATAATGCTGTTTACTACATGAAGGTTTACAACAAGATCATCCAGGCAAATTGTGCTAACAGCGACAAACACCTGCAACAAAGTAAGTAACTGCTGGTTATTTCAGTCTTCTTCTTTTACTAATACTAAAACAACCATAACTTCCTGTATCAAAGTTGTCAGTGCAAACATACAGTGTTAAATATGTCACATCCATAGGACTGTGCAGCAAATTCAGCCCTCAAATTACAGCGTTTTATGCAGCACACAGCCTATCCAAGGCAATGGAGAGCTACGTGGGTGGGCACATTGGTTTTGGTTTTCAATGCTTCAACACCCATTGGCATTAAAAAAGTGACTTGCATGTATATTCCTTCACAGTTTCATCCTCTAGTTGCAATAACAAGCTTTACCTGTCAGGAGCTATAGGTTACTAGTTGCTCTGGAGTCCTTCTCCATCTGAAGGAGTTCTTGAGTTTACGATGAAACACAGAGCTTGAGAAAATGTAGATGACAGAGTCCAAGGCACTGTTGAGGTAGGTGAAGCCAATACACACCTTGAAGAGATTAATCCAAAACTCGTAGGATTCACATGCCTCTTGGTGATATATGTTTATGTACAGACTCACCAGGCCTGAAAAGACACCTGGCAGGAAGCAGAAGGTGAACACTGCAATGATGACCATCACAGCTCTGATGGCCTGGTGTATTCTCTCTTTGTCCATTCTCAACTTTCGTACTTGGCAGGCAATCCTTACAGAGCAGAAAACCAACAAAAATAATGGCAGGAAAAACTCTAAAATATAAGCAACATAGTGAACTTTCATTTCCAGAGGGATTACTTTGTAGGAGTGGAAGCTGCGACACAGTTTTTTTCCTGTCTTATGGTCTGTATGAAGGAGGTTGGTGGTCAACAATGGGATCCGATACAAAACTACAATGAGCCATATCAGAGCTGCAAACTTGTGCGCGTGTCTCGAAAGCAGTCGACTGACAGAGTGATATGGATGAACCACCTTGAAGTAACGGTCCAGTGCCACCGCTGTCATGAAAGAGATACTAGCGGATCGATTGACAGACAGCATGTACAGGTTAATCCGACACCAAACCGGTCCAAAGTTCCAGTCATCTCCTCGCCAGTGGGAGTCGATGCGGAAGGGCACACTGAGAAAAAGCAGCAAGTCGGCCAGACACAGGTTAAAGAGGAAAGTGACATGAGATTTCCAGGACTCCATACGGCAACAGAAAATCCATATTGCCATGATGCTTCCCGGTATGCCCACAAGCGTCTCAACCATCAGGAAGATCATCAGAAACACATTCCCAACTTCACTGTCCTTGGGCTGGCAGGTGTTGTTTACCTCTGAACTCATTCTGGCAGATTAAAGTTGGATATTTTTGCTCGCTGAACAGCAATGCCAACACCTGGTTCGGAGTTTTGTTTACTTTTGACCCTGTCAAATACAAGAAAAGTGGAAAAAAAATAAACTAATTAGATCATTATATTAAGTGCAAAAGCAAATTATTTTAGTGAATTGATCTTACAGTAATGGCTGACTCTTTCACTTGACTTTTTTAGGTGTGAACTAAGAAATTTTGACATATCATGGTCATTCATTGCTATTAATTGTTGCTAAGAAAATGCTCCAGTAAAACAAATAATAGTATTTCTTATGAAAACAATCTCCAAAATTATCCAATATTTACCTATCTACCAAATATTTCACTCAAAACTGATATTTAGTGAGCAGAGACCACAATAACAAATGCGAGACAAGAAGTGTGTTTGTTAGGTCACAGTAGATATTCAGAGAACCAAAAATATATAGTTTATAATTGTTTAAATGTATTAAGTGTATTTATGCGTGTTTGTGTGTGCTAGGGATTGGACCCATTTTGACACAAATATGAGGAAGCATTTGCATTAAAAAGGGGAAATCTGAGGCACAGAGACATGTGCAGAACTGTAGCTTTTGTTTACACAAAACTTTAGTGTGTCTGGTTTTCTTAGCAGCTCCAGAATACATAACATTCATGGTTTGATAGCATTAGATACCATCAATCACATTTAAAATGAGTAGTTATATGGGCGCCAGTATGTCTTACTAGTGGTAATGAGAGGTGAAGAGATGAGAGATGAAGAGACAAGCTTCAAGGCTTTAAGTGCCTCTCTATGTTAAATTTAGAGATGCAGATAAAGACCAAAATCTAATTTGTCTGTAGACTGTAAATTATCATGTATGTTTTGCAAGGAATATGCTTTGAAAAGTTTTACAACATTATTAAAGAAGGCCCTGCAAGTAAATTTTTCATTTTCTTTCCCCATTACATCAGAATTCATGTTAAGCTCATATCATTCCAAGTCCTCTACAATTCAACCACCCCTCTTAAATGAATGCAGCCCATCTGAGTTACTATTGTCACAATCTAGAAAAAAAAATACACATATGCATCCACAAAATGTAGATTAAAATCTCATAGTTTACAACTCACCAGCAGTTCCAATAAAATAATAAGCTCAGATGGTGAAGACAATGATGTGCATAGATCCCATGTTGAGAGGAAAAGTGATATAGCGTGATTAGGAACGAGAACGATTAAAATAGGCTGGTTGTGTGAGGACTTGTCATAACATGATGTCACATCCCAAACTCCAAACAGAACCTGAGAAACACATCAGGTAAGCTCTCATATCTTTGCCAGAGAAGGACTTATGAAACACTAAATGTACATGTATAAATGTTTATTCAGAAAAAAAGAAGCACAGTACACCCAATTCTAATCCACTGTGTTTTAACCAGTTTCAAAAGTATTTATATCTAACCTAAAATGAATTAAAGACAAAAAAGACAAAAATTTTTAATTAACATTATGATTGTATTGGTTTGAGCAAGATAAAAGCAAAAGGCTTTGTGTGAAGTATGTTTACTCTGCTGCTTTTGTAATTATTTGCTGTAATTATTGTATTTCATTTTCTGTGACCTTATCAGTTTTTGAAATTTGTGGGAGAACTACTGTCGCACTATTATTTAAAACATTCCATTTCATTGAGTTTTCCAGATATTAGCTCCTTGGGAGCTCTCTGAAAGTCCACGTAACAGCATTCCAATCCAAATGGAGTATAGTCTTAAACTTGTCCACTACCAAACTCGAACTAGATTTTCTTCTTTTATAATTATTCTGTTTCATGGTGAAATGCACTTAGCCCCTGAGAGCTACCCATTCCTTCACAAATAATTGTAACAATAGTCTTTATGCCTAAGTGCTTGATTTTATACACCTATGGCCATGGCAGTATTTGGAACATCTGATTCCAATACCTGGATCGGTAAGCAAACAGTTTTGGCAATATACTGAAGGTGGTTGGTTTTGTTTGTCTTTGACGGAATTGAAATATCTGCCTAATTCAGGAGAGGTGGCAGATGACTGACAAGGTAACCTATGGTATACAGTAGGTAATTACAATATATAATTACATTATCATACCAAACTACATTTTTTTCTTGTTCATTCACAAAATGGAATTATCTGGGTGGTGATTATTTATAATTACACATCGCTGGTCCACCTGTGCGCTCACTTGCGCACAGGTGGACAGCATAGGGTTTGTTGAATCTGATGTGGCGCATTCTTAAAAGCCCAGGGTAGGAGAAATAGTGGGGGAAATTTACAATAAGAATATGAAAATGCTGTCGTATGAGCCCCAGTGTTACAAGTGCAATTAAATCCCCCCCCAAACAGCTGACACAAAACAATGTCAATGTCAGTGTGGAGGGGTCTCAAGCCCCTTCCCTGTCCTCAACTCTCAAACCCCAGGCCATAAGAGACCTACCCTCCCCCTCATCGCCACTCTCACCAACCCCGACCCACTCACACCCTCTGCCATGACTGCCTCCCCCCTCAAGGTCACTTTGATGCAGGTGAGAGGTAAGCTGAAGAGACTTAAACAGAGGAAAGTCTCTTGACTGGATGTGATTCCTACAACACTACTAAGNACCCTCCCCCTCATCGCCACTCTCACCAACCCCGACCCACTCACACCCTCTGCCATGACTGCCTCCCCCCTCAAGGTCACTTTGATGCAGGTGAGAGGTAAGCTGAAGAGACTTAAACAGAGGAAAGTCTCTTGACTGGATGTGATTCCTACAACACTACTAAGAACTGTGCTGATAAGCTACATCTACAACCTGAGCCTCAGCCTTGGGGTTGTCCCTAATCTATGGAAGACCCCCTGTGTGGTACCGTTACCCAAAACGCCGCACGCCAAGGTACCCACCTACTTTAGACCTGTCACCCTGACCTCCCCCCTAATGAAGACGATGATGGAGATGGAGTGCCTCATCCTAGCCCACCTGTGCACCATGGTGAGCCCCACCCTGGACCTGCTGAAGTTTTCTTTCAGACTTGACATCGGAGGGGAGGATGCCATCAACTAGCTTCTGCAGCAGGCGCTCACCCACCTGGAGACCACCGAGAGAGCAGTAAGAGTCATGTTCTTTGGCACCGAATGCCCTCAGTACGTGCGTCTGCACTTCTGTCAGTCAGAGGGAGCAGTCTGCAGAATCAGGGTCCCCCAGGGCAACGATCTGTATCCGTTCCTCTTCACCCTTTACACCTCAGACTTCACCTACAACATGTACAGCTGCCATCTCCAGAAGTTCTGAGATGACTCGGCCATTGTAGGTTGTGTTTTTGAGGGGAACGAGCTTGAGTATGGATCGGTCATCATGAACTTTTTGGACTGGTGTGAGAAGAACAACCTGTGTTTTTGCACCATTAAGACCAAAGCTAGTGATCGATTTTAGGAGAAGACCCCCACCTCACTCCCCCGTGAACATCCAGGGGCAGGACATAGAAATGGTTTAGAGTTTCAAATACCTGGCTGTTCACGTCAATAACAAACTTTACTGGACTCATAACACGCCCTGTATAAGAAGGGTCAGAGCCGCCTCCACCTCGTGAGGAGGTCCTTTGGTGTGAGCAGGCCCCTGCTTAAGAAAGCTGTTATATGTGGACGCACTGTATATACTGTATATACTCGTACTTCCATGCACCTTTTTCTTCCTTTGACATATTCTTATTCTTTGACTATTTGAGCTGGTGTAATGATTACATTTCTCCACTGTGGGATCAATAATGTCAATCAATTAATCAAACAAACAACACCCTTACGAGAATACCTACCCGTGTTGCTCCTCTCCGATCTCTGCTTCCACACTCTTTCGATACACACTGCTTCACTTAAGGACCATCAATACATTTAATGTTATGTGACCCAGTGACACAACATCAATGTCAAGTCATTTTATTAGACTTAAAAGATCAGGGAGGTTTCTTTTGTCGATTTTACTGCATTTATATGATAGAAGCTAAAAATAGAAGCTTTTTTTTTTATCATAGAGGTTAATAAAAATTTGAAAATGCTTTAAAACTGTACAAAAACAAGGCCGCATCAGTTCTAAAGTTAGATTTACATAATTGTTCAGTCTGATAAAGATCCTTTGGGTCTGTTTTTTGTAGTCCAGAACAAACAACACTTCCTCTTTAATCAACATAACTGATTCAGTTCCTCTTTGGGATATATTTTTTACCTTTTTTATTGCCCCTCATGTATGTGTACTACTAATAGTGATGTTACATTGAACAGGAGCTGCCAAATATACTGTAGTTCCGCACTAAACAGAATTTTCACCAATATTTATCACCCATTCACCAGCCATTACACACCTTAGTTGGAGCCCAACTATTTAATTCTTATAGGGTCTCTGTGACACACAACAAAACAGTTTTCAAATTTCCCTAACTAAACTCTTTTTGTACAGTATACAATCTATAACAACCAGCCTCACACAGAGGCTCTCCTGTGTGATCGTTGTCAGCTCAGTAACTTTATGGTCCCTGACTTCCTGTCAGTGGTTCAGACCCCGAACCATGGGCCTAAAGGTGTGTTTGCTACAATCGCTGGACTCTGATCCACAGATCTGTGCCTGAACAGCCTGCTTTATGACAGGACTCACAAAATAAACACACAAGACCCAAGACAGGCACCACTAGAGGTAACATCTGCTCTCAGGGAAATTATGGTCTATTTGTGTGCACTATAAGAGCTAAACTGTTATAGCAGAGCCATACAGCCACTTTTATGGTGTGTTTGTCTAGAGGCAGCTTTCATAGAGACCATTCAACTTCTCTGATATTATATCTAGGAACGAAAGCAAAGGATATAAATATACAGAGAAAAAAATAAAGTGGTTTTATTGTTAAATGGAGTCCATTGATTTTCCAAACCCACCTGTCTTTGCAGGGTCCGGAGGAGGCTTGGGCTTATCCAGTGTTGGGCCATGTTAATCATTTTGGACATTAAGAACCAATATCCATGTTTTATAGTAACCATGTTCTTTGGAGTAGGGGAGAACGTTTTGCTCTGCAATTAGCTCTCAATCACCAATCTTTAAGTTCAAATCCCCTCCACCCAAGACAGCATCACAAGACACTCATACATTGGGATGTGCCCCTGTCCCCAAAGATGCTTTGAGGACAAAGCAACTGTCTCATGCCGGCTTCTTCCTCTTTCCCACTGAAACTAGTTGGTTAAAAAGGAATTTTCAAACATGGGTTGACCCACTAACAATAGCCATTTGGTTCCAAAAAATAAAAAATCACTGTACTTTGTTTCCAAGTTTGAAGACGTTTCACTTCTTATCCAGTAAGCTTTTTGGCAAAGCCATTAGCCATTTGGCTTCCTTGCAATTAGAAAAAAAAGGAGGGAGGGTATGACCCACTGCAGGAAAACTGCATGGCTTCTGCCCCCCCACCGCTGCGTGCCTGGTGACACCATCACACTGGGTTAGCATTGATGATGTTACGAGTGGGACAGAAATCAGGAAAATAAATAATGGAGGGTAAAATGGAAGGGAGCCAGTGTGGAGGAAGTATGCTTAATTGTTGGCTCTTATGTCAGCCTGAATCCCCCTGAAGCTGGACATACACTGTACAATATTTTAAATTGTTGTACTCAGCTACAGCTCAAATTGTACGACGGAAATGCAGGGTTTAAAAGTTCACAGCTCACGATGTTCGTACACTGTACGGACCAACGCTATGATGCGATCTACCTGCTCATACTGTTCGTCCAGAAACCACACGTCAGGCTCATTGCCAAGAGATGGAGCTGGTTCTTCAATCTGGAAGAAGAAGAACTCCCTTGTTTGTCTGTGCATGAGGTTCCAGTAAATCAACCCATAGATGCTCGTAGCTCTGCTACAACAGCAGGATTTGCAAACACCTCTCGAGAGCCGACTGAATTTCAAACATGTTTGATTTTCTCCCGACCTTAGAATTCCTGATCAGGAGGTGGTAGTGAGAGGCTAATCGCCCATCATTACACCCTGTGTACTACACGATGCAGGACACACAATGAGGCTAAAACTTGGCCAAATTGAAAAAAATCTCGCACAACTGGAGAATCAGCACAAAATCGTAAAGCGTACGCCCGCCTTTACTACTGCTGCAGCGTGTTTATCAAATGTAACCAGAGTTGTTTTGGCTTGTTAGATCAGACATGAGATGGTGTGTTGACTTCCATACGTTGTGCTCAATGAGATCATGTAAATTAGCAGGCCGCAAGGGTCCAGAGAAGGCTTTATACTTATATATATATATATATATGTATATATATATATATATATATATATATATATATATATA